GGAGACTGCTTGGCTTTGGTTTTGGGCTTCGCTCAGGGGCTCCCAAGGACCTTCGGACGTCGGACTTCTGTATAGAAAGGCCTCTCCGGAGCATTCTTCATCTCGTCCCCCAGGGAAGGCGGCCAGACGTGGTTGAGCAATGTTGGGATGCTCGCGGGGTTGGCCCTACTCGCTCGCGCCCGCCACCAAAAACGCATCCTCACGCATAGCGAAGAGAGAGAGAGAGAGAGAGAGAGAGAGAGAGAGAGAGAGAGAGAGAGAGAGAGAGAGAGAGAGAGAGTAGCAAAGAGGAGGATGGTGGTAAGGACGAGGAAGACAGGGAGGGGGGAGGAGGGGCAGGAGAAGGATAGGAGAGGTAGGAGGACGGGGGTGAACATCGTTTCTGCTTCGCTGGAATGCCCGCCGCCTCTGTTCTGAGTTTTCCCATTTTTACAACGTGGCAACAATCGTCGTGCATCAAATTCAAAGTCAGACGATCCCCTAGTCAGCCTGACAGCTACTGCCCGAAGACGCCAGCTCTATCGTGGCTCTGCCCCTCCCCCCCTGGGTGAACGATTGTGCGTACGCATGCATGTTTCGATGTGTGGTCACGCGATTAGGGGGGATAAGAGGGGGGGTGGCCGACGCTCTGCCCGATCAAGCGATTGGCATCCGGACATGTAGCACATTCCCACGAGCCAAACACGTGACAGTCCTCACTGTCGCAAGCGGAACTAGAAGCTTGGTTGAGCCGCCCCTGGCTTGCCAAGCAGCCCCCCCCACATGCTCGTGCAACTGTACATAGGCCCAAAACAAATCTGAGTCACATCTCCTACCTTGCACAAAGTAAATGATTCGACCTAGGCGCGTCTGCCCCTCCCACGGAAAGAGAACCCTGTCGTTTGTTCTGATCTGACCAGTTGCGTTATATGCAGCCCTACACGTCCACGCATCTGTCACAGAGGGGTCGTTCAACGCCTTGGCTGGGTAGGGGAGCTCGTGCACCACGTGTGCGGCGTCATTCAGTTTGATCTCTTTATACAAAGAGCCAGAGGCCGCCTTCTGACAGAACTTCGACAGCACGTGGTTCAGCATCGTTTTGTGAAATTTGTTGAAACACCTCGCACCAGAGCTTTTGGGGACCCTCAAGCTGCGCTCGCCAGGGAAGCACGACAGGACCTCAGCATACACAAATGCATCGAGCGATCTCTGGTCGACCACCAATCAAATCAGGAGTCAGAGCCCAGCCCCGGGAAGAAAGAGGACGGAGTGAGGGGGGCGGTCCCCCTTCATTTCTTCCCATTCCTTCCCCCCCTCTTCTCCCTACCGCCCCTCCGCTCCTCCTCCTTCTCTTGCTCCTTCTTTCCAAGCCACTTCCCCCATCCCTCTCCACCGCCCTCCTCCTGGTCCGACCAATCCCTCCTCTATCTCCTTCTGTCGAGGGCGTCGGAGCAACTCTAGGGCCCAGGCCACCCCGTGCCTTTGTATGCAATCTGGAACGTGTCCAGCGTGATGGAACTTAGGTTTCCCCACGTAGAGATCACGATATAACGTCTGGTGTTGAATGACCCAACGCTCTAGCTCTGCGTGCCGCTGAACGGCGGCATCTCCAGCCCGGAGTAGCCCGAGGATCTTGCTTAAAAGATGCAAGCAATCAACGTGTTTCTTCAGCCCCACGTGGCCTCGCAAGAACTGGTCGCTGAAACAATCCAGGGAATCTGTAGCGCGAATCACCTCCGCTGCGAAAGCTTTGATGTGGGGCTGCTCATTTTTTTTGCAAGGCCTGACTACCCGATCTTGCCAGAACGTTCTCTTCCAGGACGGGGCACAGTTTGGAAAAGTGAGTGCGTTTGTGAAGTTGTCCAGGTCTTCTAATGATATACCATACTTGTTCAACTCCATCGCAAAGTAGTTTAACTGATATTGGGCTAAGCCCCCAGAAGAAACGTAGTTGTGCATCCAATCCCAATACACGCACAAGGGGAACCGAGTGATTTCCATTGCGCGAGGGTCCCACAAGATCCCATGCTTATGGTAGGACAGGCCAAGCCTCTTGGACGCTTCAGATAATGAAGCTTTCGTTCCGCCCAAACAGCCTTGTCTTGGGGGCCTCCAATTGCAATCGCCACTCGTCCCCCCCTCACCCCCCACACGCCATCGCCAAGTTTAGGCATATGCAGTTCTGGGTGACGGGTGGAAAAGAAGGGACGGTGGTGATAACAATCGGGCCCCAGAACCTTGTAACCTCTCGGCCATGACAGCAAATGTTTCTGGCGCCTGGGGTACGAACTTGTCCTTCTCAAGGGACATGCAAGACAATGCGTAGGATCCCGGGGGTAGGCGTTCAGAGTGTTGTCTGTTCACGATGTTCATGCAGTGGAGGCAACACTTCACCCCTCCTGCCCCCACGACGCATCCAAGCTCTTTGAAAGCCTTCTCGTCACAAATGAGCGGTCCAAATCGTGCCGCAATAGTAAAACTTACGTTGTCGGCTGTGAGCACCATCCCACGTTCAAAACTGCATTCCGTTGGCGAATTGGAAAAGACCCGTTTGATGATTGTGCAGAAGGCCCCTGATATGTCACCACCTCCGACGATCGACCCTGGAAGGTCCGCTGGGCCGCCAAGCACGGCCCTCATTCGAGCGAAGTAGGATGGGCTTTTTCATTAGATAATACGTTTGTTTGAGTGAACCGCAAACAGTGCGAGGCTCTCACAGCCTGAAATCTAATGCCAAATCTCTGGAGGTTCAACATAGGGTCGTCAGATTTCGGCGAAGCCGCTTGAATAGCACATGGGCGCCCAAGAAATACACCTGTTCCTGAACCAGCTCGGGAAGTCTGTGAAGTTCCACGTCAAAGACCAGAAACTGCGGCCCTTGTCGGGCCTCTGATTGTTTCCACATTTGGCGTCATCAACATGCATAGTCATTGTCCCCGTTCGATTCCCAACATAATCTCGAAAGAATCGGGCAGCATCGCCACTACGATGTGCAATATAGTGGATGAGAGCCATAGGGTGGACAAATTCTGCTTCGAACGTATTTCCATTCTCAAGAGGCAGAGATATCGATTGAACAACAGGTCCATAAGGGGCATCAGCCTTCGCGATCTCTTTCTGGTCCTCGTAGACAGCCTTTAGCAAAGCAGATCGTCCTTCAGACCCACGACTACAGGACGATGTCACAGCGGCTGAGATACTCCCACCAGCATCCACTATGCTAGATATTGCTCTCTTCTTTAGTGCAAGCCCACCTTGCCACAAATTCGTGCGTTTGGGCATGATGAAACGCCTGAGCCAAAAAACTGTTTGCTACGCAATTTAGGGATTGTGGGGATCTCTCCGGATTTGCAGTGGTCTTGGGCAAGAATACGTGGGAGGGGCAATTGGGGGGGATGGTGGGCCAGCTTGGCCCCGCCCATGCGGAGCGAGGGGAGGAGAGATATATGGGGTGGTGGGGGCGGGGGTTCAGAATGGAATGACGATATAGAGCCCAGACGGGGGCACCCCTGTCACGGAACCAAGCGCACGCGGCGCGCGATGTGTGGGCATGTTGGATGCGTTTCGATGCTTTCCGAACGCGGCCTCAGATCTCCTTTTCCACCCTCGCCCCCCCCCGGGGCCGATACAGGACTTCTTAGAAGGCCGAGAAGGAAGGCCAGGAATGCCGCGAGAAGGTTCCAAGAAGTACCCAAGAGGGCCCAGTGGTAAGGGCGTCTGCAGACACAAATAGAGCCCAAGAGAATCGCCAGGGATGAACAAATAACATGCCGAAACGACCACCAATAGCTTCCAAGAGGTACTCGTTAAAGGCTTGGATGTGCCACAGGGCGGGGTGGAGGGGCTTCAGAGGACGTCGAGATGCTCCCATCGATGTCAGAACCTTTTTGGCAACACCTATACTTACTTATCCCTTTCGAATCGTGCAATCGCTGTTCAACGTGCGCTGGGCTCTGCCCGCTTCCCATGGGGGCCTTCTTATCATTATCTTGGAGCCTTCCTGGCAGCCCTCGGGGACACGGTAACCTCAGCTCAGGGTCGCTCTTGGCATTCTCATAAAGGTCTCGGAATGGTTTGAGCTCCTCTTATCTTCCTCCTCCTCCTCCCCCCATCTTTCCGCCAGAGTCGCTGGATCACCCCAGCTCGCGCTCGCAACCCGCCTGGGGGCTGCGTGCAGGTGGCGTGCAGGTGGCGTGCAGGTGGCGTGCAGGTGGCGTGCAGGTGACCCGGGGGGGTGGACCTGACCTAGCGTGCAGGTGGCGTGCAGGTGGCGTGCAGGTGGCGTGCAGGTGGCGTGCAGGTGTACTCGAGCGTGCAGGTGGCGTGCAGGTGGCGTGCAGGTGGCGTGCAGGTGGCGTGCAGGTGAGCGTGCAGGTGAGCTCAGTGCAGCGTGCAGGTGGCGTGCAGGTGGCGTGCAGGTGGCGTGCAGGTGGCGCGCAGGTGCGCGTGCAGGTGCGCGCGCAGACCGAGTGAACGCATCGCGCCGACAACATCCTCCTCCCTCCCTCCTCCCTGCTGCTGCTCCTCCTCCTCCTCCTCCTCCTCCTCCTCCTCCCTCCTCCTCCTCCTCCTCCTCCTCCTCCTCCCTTCCTCCTTCTCCTCCTCCCCCCCTTCTCCTCCTACAGTCTTCCATGGGGCTCCAGGGGCCTGCGCTGTCAGACTTCGGATTCTTTTTAGATCGATGCTCTCTGAGCAGTGTCAATTTACAAAAAACACGAACGGTGCTCACACCGTTGCTCCCCTTACCCTGCGGTCTTGCAGAGTTTCGCTCCTGTGAGATGTCTGGGCCGCGTGTCCTAGCAGAGCAGCGGGAAAGGCGACAAGCGAGAAGGGAGTCAGAAGAGGAATGTGATCGTGGGAGGAGGGCAGGATGAGGTTGGGGAGGCGGCAGGAGCACATGAACAAGATCTTGTTTCACTTCGCAGAAGTGGGCCCCTTCTTGGGCTGCCCAGGGTTAAACTTACAACTGAGCCCAGCCAACAACTCAGTTGTGAACGCTAGCGTTCCTGGAGATGGGCGGCCTGTGCCGCCCTCTCGAGACCGGGCGCAGAGCTTCTTGCTCGCCGCCATTGCATTGATCAGTGGCATCGCGGCTGCGCCATACACAGTTGAGGGGACGTACGAGCAAGCAGCGTGGCGCAACGAGTCCGAAGGGAGGTACTTAGCAAGGTACCCTGGGTTCACGCCTTTCAAAGCCAAGCGCTCTGCATCGGAAATGAATCGGAACACCCGACGTTGTGGCCCAGGCAAATGCAAGTCATCTGTGCTAAGCAAGAACACATGTTTGTGATCGAGAGACGAGCGAAGCGTACCATCCTTGCCGAGCATCATGCTCTTGCGGTCCAAATTGACTGCGGCCACCATGGTAGTAGACCGCATCCGGGGATCCTCACGGACCAAGGACTTGATGTGGCGCTCGTAGTCCAGCAGGTTGTCTCGCATGCAGCGGGAAAGGATGTCCTTGCGATTGATGTTGCCCTCGGCTGGATCGAGGAAGTCGTAGAGACGGCCGCAGCAGCTGGGGGGCAACACGTTGGGCATAGCCCCAGCGTGGTTCTTCTTCATGCACCGCAAGAAAGAGATGGCGTCTGGTTGGGGCAAGCCGTAATCTTGCGCCTTCAGCTCCACGATGTCCCAGTGGAACCCCGGGGCGTGTTTGGCGCAGAGCTCCATCACTTTCGGCAAGAAGGGCTCGCGCCTACCATGGGGTGTCATTGTCTCTATGGGGTGGGCAACTATGGCGGCGTGCAGCTCGCCACTGTTGATCGTGTGCATGATGTACTGAAAGAATTTTGCGTACTCGTGCATGTCGTGCGAGGTTATGCTTCGCCCGCCAGAGGCGCAGAGGGCCCAGGTAGGCACTGGTGGTTTGCCAACAACTATGTCGGCACCGTCGAACTCCGAGATCTCCTTATTGAGCACGCTACCTTTGACACGGCCGAAACAGGGAGCTGTCGAGAATGCGTGCTCGCGGACCAGCTTCTTGACCAACTTTGCGTGGTGCACGTCGGTGTAGCACGTGTTGACGCTCTCGACCACCAGGCCAGCAGCTTCGAAGACAGGCGCAGTCTCCACGATGCCGCCACAGGGAAATGCGATCCTGATGGGCCCAATTTCAAGAGGGTGCGAGCGAGCGAACAGCTGGTCGATGTATTTCTGGGCAGGGAAATATTCCGCCGAACTGCTCAGCTCCTGCTGTGACGGAGTCGATGCTGGCGAGGATGTGTCTGGCGAGAAAGTTGCTGGCGAGGAAGTTGCTGGCGAGCATTGTGGTACCTCTTTTGGCGGGGTCCTGGTACCGCAGTCGGCCTCGCTGTCCGAGAAGATTTCCCGGGCGCGCTTTATGACGAAGTCGAGGGTGAAAGGGTCCACCGTGGGCATGGACGGCGTGTCCACTCTCGGTCTCTTAGTCGCCTGGTCAATCAAAGCCATCAGAGACCCTTCTGCTGGCATGCGCTTGGCTCTGGCAGCGGCGTCCATGGACGCGATGCGCCAGAAGTGATTCCGAAGAAAGACGCCTGAAACGTTTTTGAGCCAACATGGCTCACATTTCGGATTGATGTGTTGATGATTGTCACGCAGGAGGGGTGGAGTAGGAAGAGACAGAGAACGATGGGGGTGGCCAAGCGTTTCGTAGCACGGCGGGCAGAGGCAGGTCAATGGTTCTCAAACAGTCCCCAGGGCAGGGGTTGGACGCAGGACACTTCGGGCCCAGGTTCTCCAGCCATTGCCCCCCGTCGCGCACGAGCAAAGGACCCTGGCCTCCGAGGTGTCAGCGAAGAGGGCGGAGGATAATATTTTGACAAAGACGTGGAGGAGAATGCGGATAGAGACGGGGGGAAGAAGGAGGAGGAGGAGGAGGAATAGGAGGAAAAGGAGGAGGCGGACCAGGACGAGGAAGAGGGGGAGGAGACTCAGGAGGAGGACCCACAGGATGAGGAGCGCACCATGTTTTACTCTTGCATTTCTCTAGCTGCGCTAGGCGTCTACTGGCCAGGGGCGGCAGAGGCGAGGGGCGCGTGATGGAACTTGGTTGAAACCACGTTCTCTCCCCAATACGGCATTGACCCAACGCCTCTTTGCGAGTCCCCTCGCGCAGCAGCGGGTGCCGCAGCGCGCTGGCTTGGCTAAGCAGAAAGAAGGTGCGTACATTTCAAGATGCCTGGCCCTGCGTGGCCACGAGGTCTCCTCGTGCAGCATTAAAATGACTTGCCAAAATGGCATCGTCGCGCGCGGCTGAAAGAAAAAACCTGCTCGCACTAAAACTGCTAGAGCTCGACTAGAGCTCGAGAAGGTACTCCTGGAGCCTCTTCCAGACAACCTGGGGCTCATACGTGTTCCACACAAACTTCTTATCATAGCGCGAGCCTGCCTCTGGCTTCACACGCCACAGGTGCTTCTCGTGGGAGCAGTACACAGTGGCCCCGCGGAAAGAGATCGGATCGAAGTACCCAGTCCCAGGATAGCGAGGTGCTGCCTTGGCAATCGTCTTGCCCCCGAAAGAGTTCTTGGCCTTAGCCTTGACCACGGGGCTCGCCTTGCCCTTGGCCTTCGCCTTGCCTTTCGGCTTCGGCATCGGCGGCGGCGAAGGAGTTCCGGGGGCCAACGTGGCGAGCTTCTTGGCAGGAGTTGCGCCCGAAGGCGCCGCGGCGGCCGGGCGCTTCATCACGCCCTTGGGGGCAGGGTTGAGCTTGGAGCTGATGCCATTCAACATGTCATCCACCTTGGCAGACGCGGCCTCGCTTCCGCCAGCAGAGACCTGGAAGGGCACCAATGCCAGGCACTCTTGCCCTGGAAGCGGCGGCGGCGGCGCAGGCGTCGCAGGCGGCGCAGGCGGCAGCGGCGCAATCGCCAGCTGCTGCGGCGCTGATCCTGGGTCGAGGCCCCCAGGCGCGGCAGCGGCGGGCGCAAGCTGCAGCGAGGGCGCCTGCACAGGGGGCGCCTTGCCACTGGGCGGCGAAGTCCACGCCGTCGCCACCTGCGAAGCTGCAGCATGTCCCAGCTCAGCACCTTGGAGGGAGGATTGAACAGGCAGGCAGGCAGGCAGGCAGGAGGAGGAAGAGGAGGAGGAGGAGGAGAAGGAGGAAGAGGAGGAGGAGAAGGAGGAGGAGGAGCTGCAGCAGCAGCAGGATCAGGATGAGGAGAGGCCAGCAAGGAGGAGGAGGAGGAGGAGGGCGGGAGGAAGGAGGGAGGAGGAGGAGAAAGGAGGAGGAGGAGGAGAGAAGGAGGAGGAAGGGGATGAGGAGCTCAGGAGGAGGAGGTAGGAGGAGGAGGAGGAGGGGAGGAGGAGTAGGAGGGACTCATTCGTCGTCGTCGCGTTCTCCTCCTCCTCCTCCTCCTCCTCTCCTCCTCCTCCTCCCTTCTTCCTCCTCCTCACTCACCCTCCTCATCCCCTCATTCCTCCCCTTTCTCTCCTCCTCTTCTTCTCCTCCTCCTCCTCCTCCTCCTCCTCATCCACGCATTTCGAACCCTCGGCACTGCGCCGAGCCCCAGCGCTGCCCACGGGCACGACCATCTGCTGGGCGGGCGCGTTGGCGTCCATCAAGGGAAGCGAGTGGCCCACGACGGCCGGGCAAGACCGTGCCCGAGGCACTGCCAGTGCGCCTCGGCGGGGTGGCGGGGCCCTGACGGCAACGAGGCCGTTCGTGATCCGACGCGGCATGGAATTCTTCATCATCTCGATCAGCTCCGGGCGAAGATCCTCTGGCGGGTCGACGGGAGGGGCTGCGAGATACAGCAGGTTGAACAAGGTAGAATCAGTGCTGACCAACTCCTCTGGGCTTTCAGGGTAGTTGAGGATCAACTGCTCGTGGGCGGGCACGTTGCGACGGATGGCGAACAGGCCCGCCTTGATGGAGTCTCTCCACCAGATGGCGTTCGTCATGCTGTGGTCCCCCTGCGCCCACTGACCTACGGCGCCGAACTTTGCAATGGTGTGTTCTGATGGGAAGAACAAGCGCAGCGAGGTCATCTTGCTGATGATGACGCCGACCGCCTGGTCAGGCGATCCTCGCAGCGCCTGCCACTCGGCTTCGATGAAGTACCTTTCTGGGTAGTCCAAGGTCTGCTTCTTGTCCATTGGCAGGATGGCAGGGGTCTCGGCCGTCCCGGAGACGTCGGCCTTGCTGTTGACTGCCTCGACGATGGCGGCCCTGTCGATTTCAACGAAGGGGCAGATCTCTGTTGCGTTCATGGCTTCCACCACGTCCATAGCAGCCTCCAAAGATATGCTAGAACCAAGAGCATCCAACTGGCGCAGAATAGCATTGCAAGCGTTCCTCGAGATGTAGGAGTGCTTGTCGCTGAAAGGCTCGATACCTCCATTGGCGAGGTTGCAACTGATGAACTGGATCCTGGATTTTGCGAAAGCCAGAAACAAGTTGGTGCGCTTGGCAACTGGAGTGGCCGACATCTCGCTTGGATCGCAGTTCACGTGGACGAGCAGTGAACAAAATTGGCAAAGAAGTCTGAGCCAAAAAAGGAACGGTGCGAAGATGGCGAGGGCGATGATGGAACAATCGCACTGGGATCCTGCGCTAGGTCGCTGCTCATGCTCCTGGGGTCCTGAGGTCCAAGGGTCCTGGGCTTGGGCTTTGTCTTCCTATGGAAGAGGCAGGCCTGGTGCTACGTGCTTCCTTTCCTCCTCCTTCACGTCCTTCTCCTCATCTTCGTCCACCTCCTCCTCCTCCTCCTCTTCCTTCTCCTCCCCCTCCTCCCCCTCCTCCTCCTCATCATCCTCATCCTTCTCCTCATCCTCCTGCTATTCCTCCTCCTCCTCTTCATCCTCCCAAGCAGGTGCTTCAAACTGTGGGTGCTCAAAGAGCCAGCTGGGGAGAAGTGGATCGCCCCCGTTGTAACAAATATTGCTGGGCCTTATGATCTGAGGGCTTGCTGCGGCGCTCGAGAGGGGCCCCGCGATTTGAAAACACGGGACGAGGGGGGCGTAGGCAGGTCACAACGGTCTGAGGAATTGGATTGGATATGAGACTTGGTCTGGCTAGGGGAGAGGAGGGGGAGGAGGAGGAGGAGGAGGAGGAGAGGGAGGAGGAGGAGAAGAAGGAGGAGGAGGAGAAAGGGGAGGATGAGGAGGAGGAGGAGGAGGAGGAGGAGGAGCAGGAGGAGCTCAGGAGGAGAAGGAGGAGAAGGAGGAGGAGGAGTGGGAGAAGGAGGAGGAATAGGTTGCGGTAGCAGCAACAGCATGGACTCACACCATTTCACTGTATCGCTTTCTGGATGCACTGATCACGCAAAAGGTTACGGCGGCAAACCACACGCCGCCGAAGGCTATGAGATTGCGTATACACACATATGGACATAGCCAGGCGTGATTCGAGAGCATCTGAGGGAAACTGGACTGAAAAAAAAAACACTCGGCTGCAACAGCGACAGAATGCTCCTAGTGGATCTGACTGGGAGCCTAAGCTGACGGCCTTCGCGCAATTTCAAGTGTCTACTCACCTGGCAGAGGCGTTCGCACCCCTTGAAGGCCCTCTGGTTGATTTGTCCTGGGAGCTGCTCGACGCCTCAGACCTGCTCGCGACCTGCAGCCGGGGCCTCTGCAGCTTGGGCCTCCTCGAGCTTCTCCTCCTCCTCCTCCTCCTCGAGCATCTCCTCCTCCTCCTCGAGCATCTCCCTGATGCAATTGATCTGGCCCTTCAGCACGTCGATGGTGGGCCCGGCCTGCTGCAAGGCCAACTCGGCATCCTTGATGGCAGCAGCAGCGCAATCGGCATCCTCCAGGGCGAGGTTCAGGTTGGCCACGACCGAGGCGATGAGAGGTTTCATTCCCTGCGCCGAGCTCTGCCACAGGCGCGCAATGGATCTGAACCCCATGATCCAGACTACCCCGGACCCTCTCGGAAGGACATCTGAAAACTAGCTCCAAGGGAAAGGGGGGATGGGCCAGGTCTCCATTGCGTGCTCTGTTGGCGGGGCTGGCACCTGAGCCTTGGAGACGAGCAGTGCGGGCAGCATGTCTTTCACCGACTTCTCGCCAGCTTCCATAATCAAGACGTCGAGCTCCTCAGACTTCCCGTCGCAGGACTTGACGAGCTTGTCGATTTTCTTCACTACGCCCGGCTTGGGCTTCACGATCTTCGGGCCTGTCGGCAACTGCTCCGCGGCCTGACTCTGGCCGCCGTTCTCCTGCTTCTTCCCGCGCCCCTTCTTCCCCTTGGGCTGCGCCTCGCCCTGCTGGTCAGCCTTGCGCTTCGACCCCTTGATCGTCGAGTCTTGGGAAGTACTGATCTCTTCCGTCCTCCTCTTCTCGGTTCTCTGCAGGCTCTTGCTCTGGATGGCGCTGTCCTCGTAAACCGCGACCTGCCGAGTCGGGTGGATGATCGACCTCGCATTCTTGATGATGTTCCTCGCCTGGTCCTCCCGCCCCTTGTATTTCGTGAACAGCTCTGTCTCGTCCATCCACCCTTCGCAGTTGCCGCCGAACTCGTCGATGTTCGAGAGGATGTTGTGCTCTTGCACGA